GTGGGGGTCGAGGTTAAGGCGGGGGTGGGAGTGCGTGTCGAGGTTAAGGCGTGGCGGGAGTTAATGTGGGGGTGAGGGCGTAGGTGGGGGCGGAGGTGGGGGTTGAGGTGGTGACGAGGGTGGTGGTTGGGGTAAAGGCGTGGGTGGGAGTTGGTGTTGAAACTGTAAAGTGCAATATATAACAACTAAAACAGAAAGCGCAAAACTATGCAATAAACATAAATTTGAAATTCAATGAAAGGTACAACAAACTTACTCATCTTACTCAGCATCGTCTGAAAGGTGTCTGTAGGATGTTGTCATGATCTCTTCTTCAAACGCATTGTTGGAGTTATACGTATCATAGAGATTAATTTCTTTGTATTCGTCACTAGCAACCTCTAGATTGAGCTCTTCATTTATTGCAAGAAGTGGAAAATAGAAACATGTCATTTGATTTTCTTGATGGGCGGGTTCAATGTTCTTCTCAATATTAATAGTGGCTTTCGGTTTACTCGAAATGATAACCGCCCAATCAATGTTATCTCTTACTCCATGTGGACATTGAAGGTAGTAAACTGGCTCACCTGACGCGCTGGAATGAAAGGATCGCATTTAGCATATCTTTTATTCACTTTCACTTCGAAGACAGTGTAGCTACAATAACATACGATATTATAGGGAGTCGTCCTAATGGATTGAGAATAAATATTCGACCAATAATGATCTTCGATAAAACTAGCATTACTAAAATATTAAACAATCCAACTTGTAGTAGATTTAATTTAGATATAATTTTCATATCTGAATAATGAACTTCTTACTTGCATTAGAAATACACTTTGATCGCATATTGGCTAGGTCCTTTAGTCCAATGTCATCCTTCATAATACTCTACTTTCTATTCACAAGCTTTGCTAATGGATGTGAAATAATATTTGTATTATCTTATTATTATTGATGCAATGCAATTTCGAATGAGTTTTCTTCGAGATATGTCATTGGCATAATCATCGTTGGGTGTGAGACAATGCAGCTTTTATAGTTTTCGTCGTTGCTTGATCTTCATAGATTAATATTGTTGAAGGATGCTTATCATTTATTGTGTGAATGAATGTTTTGAATAACCAAGTGAATGACTAAATTATCTCTTCCAATAAAAAGACTGTGTGCGTTACTGGAGCTGCAGGCTATATCGGTTCATGGCTCGTCCGCAAGCTTTTGCAGAGGGGTTATGTCGTTCATGCTACTCTCAGGAATTTAGGTAATATTTTTCTTCTGCGTGTGTGTATTATTTTAATTCAAAAGAAGCTTTTTTTATTTATTTTAGATTTTTTTGGGGGGAATATATGTTAGGTGATGAATCGAAAGTGGAGATGTTGAAGAAACAGGAGGGTGCGGATGAACGGCTGAGATTATTTGAGGCAGACTTGTATGATGCGGATAAGTTTGATTTGGCTGTCAATGGATGCGATTTTGTACTCCTCGTCGCCACGCCTTTGCTGCATAACCCTAATTCTCAGGCATTGTTTCTTCTTCTCCTTCTCCTCCCTCCCCTGTTTTTTGTTGCTGTTATTATTTTTTTTTTTTCCTTTTTAATACATAAAACCATTTATTTTCAAATATTTTCTTTTGCTATTAAATACATTTTTTTTTTTTCCTTTTTAATACATAAAACTATTTATTTTCAAATATTTTCTTTTGCTATTAAATACTGGTATGTGAGGTTATATTCATAAAATAATTCTCTTATTTATAAATGAGAGGAAACTGTGATTCTTTTATCATATTTATGTCTGTGGTTTAAAAGGCTGGTGCTGAAATATTCTTAGTATTTTACATGTGGGGGCTTGTTACTTGGGATTTCTGGCCTCGAGTTGATAAGATTAGATCGATCGACTCAGTTTGATAGGTATGGGTTAGACGGCTGATATGACCCAACTCTCGATTCTTGATTGCTCGTGAGGAGTATTTTGAGTGTCCTTGGGTGGGGTCGGTTTTCAGATGTTGCGAAATTGAATCTTCCATTGGATCGGTTCTAATAGAAGGTAGGTTATCGGATAGGGTCGTTTGCCCTGCAACAATTGGCTCAGATATTCTTTCGTCTCTTTTCTGGCCCAATGACTCGAATTTGGGTTATTTGGTCATCTTTTTGTAAGCTTCATGACCCGGTCAGTTTTAGCCTGACTGCCTTACCTTAGATAACTTCGTTCAGATGGTCGAGTGGGCTCCATGGTCTTTCGACAGCGGACCAGTCAAAGCCGCATTATTCCCTTCTGAATTGTTAGATCTTTTCGAGATATGTGCTACTACATTTTTTATGTGCAGATTTTAATTCATCATTCTCGTACTTCTTGAAGGCCACACTGCAATGAAAATAAAAGAATTTAATGCAAAAATAGATTATATTTAATCTTAATAAATGATTCAATGATTCGACTTCCTTGATGACCACATCTTCGATTATTACGAAAGGGCTAGATTTTACTCCTTTTTCTTTATTTGTTTCCTGTTTCCTCTCATTTAGACAGAAGGATAATGCTGTCATCGCTAAAAGGAAAATTGTAATCGTTTCATAATATGAGAAATTGTCATATATTTCTTAAAAATGTTATTACTTCAAATAATTTGTGATGCGTCTGTTCTTTTAAATGAATTAATAAAATATGTGATGCGTCTGTTCTTTTGCCTTGGGTTTGATTAGACCAGCTAGCCTGCTTGGAATGGAAATGCAGGGTCGACGTTTAGAGAACTGTCCCCTACATTCCAGGAGTACTACCGCTGATATAGAAAGATTTCATGTCTCCTCTGCCTGACCTATCTGATTTCATACACATGCGGCAGGGCTAGCCATCTCGGGTGGAGATGGATAAAACAAGGCTGAATGCGGGATAAGAAATTATTAAGCTTGTCGGGAAGGGCTGTCTAGAATTTCGTTATGCTGGTGAAATTGTTGTTGCACCGACTACACAAAAGACTAGTTCATCAAAGAATGCGGTTTGGGATGCTACCCTTTTTTAGGAAATCAATTGGCTCGCGGGTGGAGATAAGGACAGGAGGGATGTCCATGGAAGCGCAGGAGGCCAAGTATTCCGCCAGACATCCCGGCTTGAGAGCCCCGTTCGCCTTTAAAGGAGTCTTGAGTTTTTCAGTAGCTTAGTTTCCAAAGAAAATGTTAACCTTGTCATTTTTATGTTACAGGATGAACCAATGTGAATGAGTGTCAGCTTCGTTTGACATTATTTGGAACTTATCGTGAGGGAAAGCTGAGGGTCTGACCTCCACTAAATTTTGTCAATTGTTGCATGTTAATTTTTGTATTTCAATTAATTTGATCACTAAATCAATAAAATTTGATATTCTTAATTAAATAATTAGCTCTAATTAATTTATAACTTAGGAGATTTACTAAAAATCAAAATGAAAAAAAAGAACTCTTAAAGAATTGAAATCTGAAATACTTAAATTCAAATGATTATAAAGTAAGAAAATCTTTTTTTCTTGCTAAATTTTAATAATAAATAAATCAAATATAATACAGAAAAATTAAATGATCATTAATTAATATCAAATTTTTATCCAAAATGCACTTTGCTTTCCTCAAATTGCCAGATATCTTTTCCATTGAGACTTATTACATCATAGATTTTATGAAACACTTACATACAAACCGAAAAAATATTACATTAGGATTCTGAATGCATTCAGAGTGCAATGGTAGGGTGTCACGTGTCAAGTTGACCCCACAATTCTTTACACTGACCAATACCAGTGTATTACGGTGGGGCCCGCTTGACACATGGTACCCCACCATTGGACTCCTAACGCAAGCTCTTCCATACAAATCATGCAAGTCTTACGTATTTGCATATCCAACACCTAACCTTTCATTCTTACATGCATAGCACACAAATTGTAACAGTTCTTTTCATGATAGATTTCGTACACCAAAGTGTAATAAATGGAAATATGATAATTTAGATGTCAGGTATGTAAATTTCTCTATATTTTAATATCTAGAATGACCTGCAGACTCTATTTTTAGAGTTATCTCTCCCTCTCTCTCTCTCTCTCTCTCTCTCTATATATATATATATATATATATATAATGTGGGATATATATCTAATAGATTTTCTTACTTTGATGCAGTATAAGAACACAACAGAGGCTTCATTAGCTGCCCTGCACAACATAATCAGTGCTTGTGAGAGATCCAAGACAGTAAAGCGAGTTATATACACAGCTTCTGTCATGTCTGCTTCTCCAAGGAAGGAAGATGATTTTAGCTTTAAGAGCAGTCTAGATGAATCTTGTTGGACTCCCCTCCAATGTCCTTTTGCTAATGAGGAAGAATTCTCTCAGGTTAATGTCTTCATATCCCACATATTTTTCATTGTGTTTTGTCATTAGCACATTGTTTTCTACTTTAAATTATGTTTAGGGTTTGGTAGCCATTAAGAAATCTTTTATATAATGTGTGAGGGAATGTTGATTAAAGTTGTGAATTTAGAATTAGTTGATATGCTGGTTGGCCTAAACCTATAATAACTTGATGATGCATGTGATTCTAACATTTATATCTAACAAGGGTTACTCGTGATTGTGACGTGCTCGACTTGATACTCTATTTTGAATATAAGAGTCTCTGTTGAAGCATTATGAGTCGGAGTATTCAAGAAATTTAGGCTTCGTTGTATGTGAGTAAGAGTATTCAAGAAATTTAGGCTTCGTTGTATGTTGCATGCTTGCTACATTCAATTCAAACGATTATATTTACATATTTAAAACTGACACAATCCATGTAATCACATAAGCAAATATAATAAGATAACACTTGAGTTGCCTCCCAAAAAACGTTTGGTTTAATATTCTTAGCTAGACAATGTTGGATTCCCAATTAGGATGACCTAAGTTAATAATTGCTCTAGGACCACACCTATCACCCCTAGGTAAGATTTTAATCTCTGTCTGTTAATTTTAAATATACAAAATCTTTTTATTACTGATACAGCTCCAACAAATCTCCATCATCCGACACGAACCTTGAGGAAAGTTTTTTAGCAAGAAATAGTCAAACCTCGTTAAAAATTAATCCAGAACTCCGATTTCAGTAAACTTACAATTAAACAGACTGGATCGACAAGAAGAACCCAATGTTACCAAAATTGGTCTAATCCGAACCAAATCAAGCCTAGATGAAGCCATTAAACCACTTTTGGAAGTTTTCTGGACATATTTGGAAAATAAAACAAATATTAATTCTGATGAGTCTATAGTCAAATCGAATGTCTTGACAAGAAGAATCAAACAAGCCTAAGATCGCTTAATTCTGACATCAGTAAGACCTCAAATATTCATCAAATACCAGTTAATCGAGGGAAGCCCACAGAGTTGTCTGGTCAAAGTGATTCATATTTCTAAATTAATTACACCCAGAACTATATAAATAGAGCCCCACCCCTCTCACAAGTGGAGGGGGAGGAGGGCTTGAGGCTTGAGAAAGAACTTGAATCTTTGAGAAGAAACAAAGGTGTAGCACAACTCCTGTAGTCGTCGACCACCGCCAACTGTCATCGACCACCACAGACCACTATCGACGACCGCCTACCGTAGTCGACAACCACCAACAAATTCAAGCGCCCTTGCCGTCTTCGACCACTGTCGCAGACCTACCGTCAATCGTCGTTGTTGGCTGTCGACCGCCTTCGACCACTGCCATTTGCTGTCGACCGTTGATGTCCACCATCAATCCCTGCCAACTACCATTGATCACTACGGACTGCCGTCAATCACCCCCGGTCGCCGTCAATCACCACTAATCGCCGTCGATCACCACCGCCATTGTCGATCACCACCAACCACCGTTGACCACCACCGACCGGACGCTGCTAATCACTATCAATCGTCACCAGTCAATGTTGTAACTTGGGAAACCTAGTAACTCTTTCTAGCCTGTAAGACAAGTGGTTGCAAATGTAATCAACTTTTTATATTGAAACCCCTCTGCTAAATTAGGCCCTGTGGTTTTTCCTTTTCGAGTTCTCCACATAAAAACTTCTTGCGTTATTATTATTTGTTTTCTCTTTTATGAGTGTGCGTTGAAGCTTCATACCATGCTAAGATGATAATTTGCTACTCTAGTGTTGTGAATTTTTGAGCACGCATCTGTTATCAATGTCAATCGCTCCAATTAGGTATACCTTTACTATAGTGAATTTACTAAACAACTTAGACTTTAACTTCCCTATTAATAATTTCAATCATGAATTATACAAAAATACTTTCTATCTAGGTTGAAATTCTTTTCTAATAAGCTTCTGACCATGCCACTTTTTTTAGGCTCTTTATAGATTTTGGCATTCTCGTGAGCTTTACTTCAAATTTCTTCTAATTCATTTAACTGTAATAAATATTTGTTTACCAAATCTTGGATATTCTAATTAAAATTCTTAATTGTTCAATAAGCTTTATGTTCTAATTCAATGTATAAATGACAGACTTTTCTAAAAATTAAATTATAGGATGACATACTTATGAGAGTCTTAAGTACGATTATATTGGCCCTACAGTGCATCATTTAATTGAAGGGGTCGATATTTCCTGCTAGGGTTAATAGTTTTTTTATTGAATCTTTTTAATCTCTCTATTTGAAACATTTACTAAATCATTAATCTGAGGATGATTTGTAATGTAAATTTTATTATTTATCCCATATTTTATAATCAATATCTCAATATTTTTAGTATTGAAATGACTCCCTCCATCACTAATAATAATCACATGTGTTCTAAATCTATTTAAAAAATATTTTATAAAAAAATTTTGAGTACTTTGTGGATACACTTCAATAGAGCTACTACCTCAATCCACTTTGATAGATAATCCAAACCTATTAAATTGCACTGATTTCTTAAAGATGATACCAAAGATCCCATGAATTCTATATCCCAAATATCAAATATTTCTACTTTTAAAAAATAATTGGTGACCATTTCATATCCCTTAGAATTATTTCCTACACCCGTGACATCTTTCACAACTTTTGATATAAACTTCCTTAAAAAATGTAAGCCAATAGAATTATAAATTTAAAATCTTAACAAAGGTTTTAAAACCTCCAAAATCTCAATAAGAGAAAAGTCTAATGAATTTTTCTAATCCTTTAAGGGTACATATCTTCTAATGATTTGATACTTGTATTTCCTAATATGGTAAGGTTCATCCCAAAAATAGAATCTAGTATCTGAAACAAGTTTCTTCGTTTGATTTAAATGACAGATCATAAAAATGATTCCATCAACAATGTAATTAATTATGTTGCATATCAAGGAGTATTTTATTCATCAATTGAAAGAAGTTGTTCACCAGCAAAATTCTGAATAATTACATCAAATGCAACATTCAAATTTTTCAGCTTAAATCTTAACAAGAGATCAATTGAAATGGTTGCATATAATAACCCTAATGAGTCCAATATGAATTTTTAAAATAATTGGACTCTCAAATGAAAATACAATCCAAATAACAACAATTGGATTCTATTGAAAATTTAAAGTTGAAAGATCATTTTGATAATTTCATAATGAGTCCAATATGAATTTTTCAAATAATTGGACTCTCAAATGAAAAAACAATCCAAATAACAACAATTGGATTCTCTTGAAAATTTAAAGTTGAAAGATCATTTTGATAATTTATCAAAGAGCCTTGAACAATAATTGATTTCTTTTGAAAGATGGCTTTGAAATTTATAATTGAAGACATATTTAAGAGTATAATGTGTTGTGCAAAGATATTAAGAAACATTAAAAAATTATAGTGCTTGAAAAGAGGATATTGTTGATCGATTGAAAATGTCATATGTTCATGAACTTCCCAACTAAGGCCATTTTCAACTAATCTAACTTATACAGTAAAAACTTGTATAGGATTATGATGATGATAAATGTTTTACATAGGATTACATTAGGTCAAAGACAATAACAGAGAAGGAATTCTTGGCCTATCACACAAAAAGCGAGAAAAGAAGAATGGAAGTGGTGAGCTTGGTTTGTGCCCTTGTTGGAGGGGATGGAATTCTACAATATCTGCCTGGCAGTGTTACTGCTATCATCTCTCCCTTGAGTTGTGACCATAAGCGTCAATATAAGATGTTGAAACTGTTGCAGGAAACGTTGGGCTCAATACCTTTGGTTCACATCGATGATGTTTGTGAGGCTCATATTTTCTGCATGGAAAATGAATTAAATTCTAATAGATTTCTGTGTGTTAGCCACTGGCCAGTCATGCAGGAGATTGTTGACTACTACGAGCTCAAGTTTCCTCATGCTCAAGTACTCAAAGAGTAAGTAGGGTGGAAGTTTTATTTAAATTACTTACTATATTTTATTTCTTATAATCTAGTATCAATATATGATTAACCCAATATAGCACTTACGGTATATTTGTAAAATTAACTTTTGCATCAATACATTTCAGGGTTGAAGGTGGAAAAATTGGTATTCCATGCAATTCTACAAAGTTATTGGACCTTGGTTTCAAATATAAGTATAGTATGGAGGAGATAATTGATGGTAGTGTTGCATATGCGACGAAGATGGGTAGGCTTTCAAACTTATGGTTTAGAAAATAAATTCGATTAAGTATGAATTTATGCATAATTTTTGGCATCCGAAATGCACTCAAAATTGAGTTCGAAAACTTATTTTTTTTTTAATGTGGATTTACTCCATTCTAAGAAAATTTACATATAATTTGATGAAATGGATCCAATTAAAAAATATTAATTTGATTTCAGAGAAGAAATATTACGTATGCTCTTCGTATAAACAGAGAACGCGTAGATGCACGACCGCTTTCTTTTTTTTTTTTGTTGCTTCATGAATTTCAGTCGTTGACGTACATGCATATAAACATACGTAACATTTGTTCGAATTCAGATGCATTTAGTTGAGTCATCCTTGCATTACTCGCACGTGCGATGACCAGAGCCCTTATTCTCAAACTTCTCTTAGTAAGGGAGACCATTTCTTTCTTCAAATCTAATGGGGCACAACAAATTGTGCACCAATGGTAAATAAAGTTTAGGGTCATTTACTTGAATACCATACAATTCCTATCCATTTAGATGTGTAACATCTAAGCTTTTATTTTTATATTTTTGTTATACAAATCTTTCATTGCACATAAAAAAATATCGTTGTTTTAACTTTTAAAATGTGAAATACTTTTTTCATGCAAAATTAAGGTGTCGATATGTAAATGACAGAACAATATCCGAGAGATTCGAAGTAAAACATTAAACATAATCGCTCAAAATAAGAAAATGTGAAAAATCTCAAGAACGTGAGCAATCACAGCCACATCAAACCAAGAAATTCATTATAAAGAAAATGAAGAAAATTGATAAATTACACCACACTCAAACTTCTCAATATTTTCAAAATTTCAAAACACACGTCTTTTCTTTTTTGCATAAGAGAAAGTCAAAATCCTTCACCTTTCTTTCATCAAAACCAAAACTTCAAGTGAAAAACTGCCCAAACTTACGTAACTGGCACCAGTGAGCTGCAATAGTGGCACCGCAGTGCTGCAAATGAGCGCTAGGGCACTCCTGGCGCTAGAGTGTTGTACTCTCATGTTTTGAAACTAGACTTGACAATGTGGCTTTGTCTTTCATGGGCTTAGGCGTTGCTAGCTCGTCGCTATGCTGTTGTATGTATGATGTAAGAAAAACTTAAAATAAAAATAAAGAAAACGCAAGAGTTATCTAGGGAGCATTTATTATGATAACTTGTGTATAACATGTGACAACAAAATACGAAAGACACTGGAGCTTTTATACAAGAAGTTTAATGAGAAGAAAATGAACTTTGGCTTAATGCAGACCGAGCAATCCACTGTGTTCATGAAATTTTCTGAAGTTAGGGTTTTCTTTCAACTAAATAAGATGAGATTATAAAGTACAAATAAAAAAAACTGACTTTGATTAGTGCTACCAAGAATATTGAAGAAATATTAAAAGGTGATTATAGCGGTCAATCAACGGTAGACAAGCTATCATATAGATATTGTATGTATTAAAATTGTGAGCATCATCTTAAAGAAATCAAGCGATCAAGGATGATAGTCGGACAATCGAAGCTTCAAACTTAATGAGCATGGTCTGCGTTAGATAGCCGATGATCGACTGCTCAATCGAGTCAGCCGACACGCAATGTTGACAGATCCAGTCGACAAACCATTCATGCAATCCCAATTACCTCTACTTCCTGCAAGGAGGTCAGGTCACCACTAACCTGCCGACTAACTTTATCTCGACAGGAGTGATCATCACGTTATTGATCACCCTAGTCAACCTAATCTAGATATGCAGAACAGTTGAAAACGTTCGTATTCAATTCAAATTGCAATGCAAATTTAGTATTAAATCATCACATTTGCTTTAGGGGCGGTTTCCTATAACCGTTACATCATTTCTGTAATTATATAAATATGCCTCTATCAATAGGGGGCAAAGATGAATTAAGAGATCCCAATCTACAGACTTTTTCTCGGTCTCTTTACTGAAATTTTTTTACCGCTTTTCTTCTCTCTCTTCTCCTCCTCCCAACTCTAACTCTCGAGATGTGTATTTCATAAAGACAATTTATAATTCAACACACACACACAAATAAATATATATATAATAAAATACGAATAATAATAATAAAAAGAAATAATAAATTTAATAGTATTATCTTTCAAAAATAAATAAGCCCATGACGAGAAACAACATCCCAGATGAGTGATTGGCAAATAGTTTGAGCTCGTCGGCAGGATGAATAAGCAGAACAAATATAGATGTTCAACATTTAAATAAAATATAAATTATTACTTTTTTTTTTCTTATAAAAAATAAATGATAGATATTTAAAAAATATATTTTTTTAAAAAATTTAATATATTAATTCAAGGCACATGTGTCCTATTTTTATTTTTATATTATTTAAATCAGAGACTAAGGTTACCCCCAGACCGTAAACTTTTCCTGTGGCCGAGCGGAAAGCCAGCCGCGGGATCGACCCCGTGGCCCAACTTTCGCTTCCCGCGTTCTTTTGAGAACGTTCGGTAATACCCCCGCCCTCTTCCGCCTTCCGAAAAAGTAAAGAGTAGATTGCAGCATACAGAGCCGAAGCCCCTTCCTTGCCTTCGAAGATGAAGAATGTCGAGGGTTCGTTCACGAAGAACTTGGTTTGTTTTGGACGAAACCGGGAGAAGAAAAGGGGGTCGAGAATACGACAAGGAAGAGGAAACGTCTGAAGAAGCTGAGGCTGAGCTTTGTTAAGAAATCGAAGTCGAAAATGAGATTTGTTTGATCTCGATCACAAATGGATTGTATTTTTGGTATCGTTTCTCATTCCCTCAGTTCATTTATGTTATTTATATATATGTTATTTATATATTTTTGTTATTTATATATTTTTGTTTCAGGATACATATAAGAGCTGAGATGAACGGATAGTAACTGTTCTATTCTTCCTCTAAATGGAATTACTAATTGATCCACAAGAGCACTTTTTTGAAATATTCTTTCATGTTAGCTAAATTGCTTCTGAAATTTTGAGCTTTGTTTATTATCCTACTGTAACTGAAGCTTAGACAGCAAAATTTTGAAACATGCACTCTTAATCAATGGGAATAGCTGATTATAAGGTGTAAGGGGAGGTAGGAGCATTCGAATTATATTATTCTTTGATGAAATACTATCTTTCTATTATTTTGGCTTTGTGTGATTCCTCACTACTTTGGCCTTCTAATTTATGATGGTAATTCATCATCAAACTTAAGATAGTTGACGGCAAAGATGATTTTATATTTTGCGGTGGCTCTAGGTAGCTTTGATGGATGGTGAATTTGCCCTCCTTGGGTTCTTAAGGAGTTGTTGTCTCATGGTGAACTTGAAGTATGCTTAAAAGGACAGAATAAAATGTTGGGAAATTTATATATGTAGCACACAATTCTTATATATTTACATATCTCATGCTAAACTTTCATCTTTACATGCATAGCCCATTAGTCCATTAAACCAATGCATGAAAATGTATATTTCAAATTAAAAAAGTGGTAATAGAGTTATTTTTTTTATGTGATATTAATGGTTTGTGTGTCATGTGTGTAGATAGGAAAGTTTATATGTAAATTCATAAGAATTGTGTGTTATGTTTGTAAATGGCCTTAAAATGTAAAATTTCAATCCATTTAGAAGGTGTAGATACTTTAAATTGTACCATTTCATATTGTTGGGTTGCTTTATATTGGATGGTTTCAACAAAAAAGTTTATTTGATTTGTTGTTGATGGGATGGAGGCCATTGGCCGATGACTCAATAGATGATTGATTAGGAACTTTGAAATAGCTTGATTCATTACAGTGCTAGTTTTGTAAGTAGCAATGTTTAGGTGTTATGTATGCATAAGAATTTAAGTGGAATGTATGTAAATGTTCTTAAAATTTAACGATCTCCTAAGTGGAGGTCATGATTGTCTAGTTCAAAGAATTTCAGAAGGCAACAAGAGTTATACAGGCTTTGTGCTCTGAGGCTAAGGTGTGTCTCTCTCTTATTCATTTCAGGATGGAGAGAATCTATTATTGCATTGCATTTTTTAGTTATATTTATCTTAGTTAGCAGTACATGCATTTGTTCCTCACCGGACTGATTGAGATATTACAACTATAGCCAAATTTATAAATGCTTTTTGACTCTATAGAATTTAGTGACATGTTTGCCTATCTTCCTTTGTTTTATTTTTAGATTCCTGCTCTTGTGCTTCATTGAAGGAAGTAATGTGGAATAAGCTTTTTACCATGAGCTTAAGGAAGTATAACATCTAAATGCTTGTGCTTCATATTTTTAGATTCTTGCTTTTGTGCTTCATCAAGTTGCTTGCTCTAGTGTAGATCAATTTGCAGGACAATTTGATCCAACTTCAGCATTAAACTTGATGTAATTCATCTTCCTGCAGGTGCTTAAGTCCTGCAGATTCTTAATTACCATTTGCCATCTGTTTTGCTTTAAGTGGAGCGGGAAGATGGGATTTTTGAAGGTCTTCGTACTCTGTGATATCTGATTTGCTTTCCCAGCTATCTCTAATTGTTGTTGCACTTTTTCATGTCTTTTTCTCGCTAACAGAGGCCTTGGGTATCCAAAACGCCTGATAATCTAATTATTTGCTATTTGTTGTGAAATCCGCTCCGCCAAACACCTACAACCTCACTGTTGCGAAGAACTCCTTATGGATTGAGTTAGATAGAAAAGATATTTAATAGTATTATACAAATCTTTTCAGCAAGATTATGATTTCAAATTATTGTAATCTTGCTCCGTCAAGAATGCCAAGAAATAAGAAATGGAATGCAAAATAAAATATCAAATTCCTTCTTGAAACTTCTTTAAAGGCTACGGTTGGGAATGCCAAGAAATTTGCTGCAGTGCCTTATCCTCTTCTATGTCTGGAAATCCACCTGCAAGCTTATACAGGAATATTTCTTCTTCCAGAGAGACTTCTCGATGCTTTTCAAGATGTGCAAAGCCCTTCGCTGTTCTCTTCCCTAGGCCTTCAGATCTTGAATACCAAGGGAGACAGAGACAGCAACAAGTAATAAACAAGAAAATAAAACAGGAAAGGAAAAAAAGGATGCAACAAGAACACAAGAACACAACCACAAGAAGATTTACGTGGTTCGGTCCTTAGACCTACATCCACGAAGGGAATCGCTACCAAATTTACTAGCACAAAGGAAGAATTACAAGCTCATTACATC